CCCCCCCCCCCTCTCTCACTTTTTGAAAATTTAATGTAGAACAGCAACATGCAAATAATGCAATTCTCTCAAGACTTGAGGCAAACTGTAATTCTTTAAGGAAATGTTGTTGACTTAGCTTGGTTTGTAGTCCTTTTCTCTTTCTCTTTTTGTTCCTGCAATAGTTGAGTGAATTTATTGCCCTGCAAGTCTTACAGTCTTTAATGCATCATCCGACCCGATGTATCGCCAGCAGCCGAGAGTGTCCGAGTGACATTCACGCAACAGCTTTGTTCTCCTTAAGACGTATATATTTACAAGACATTGTCCACACCAGCTTAATTCTGCTGTTATAATGCCACGAATTGGCAACAGATGGTGTTAATTCAATATGATGTTTCTCACCCTCTCTAAGTACAAGTCAACCAAAACTAACCCAAACACGTCCCTGCAGGTGTGAATGAGCCTGAATCACCTTTAGCTTAGTGGAACCAACATACGACTAATTGGGGTGGTTTACTATTTAGTAAATGGCAAAGATGTTCATTTCAATCTCCTGTGTGTTTTTGTATCTTGAGTGGAACTGCTGCCTCTACCCCTCATTTACATAACCAGTTAACCCCTCCACTCCCACCCTTGACCACTGAACTCTGTTACTGCTGTTTGAGGCTCACATTTTATTCCCTGACTTTCTGGGGAAATTCGCAAATGGCTATTTTATATGATTACTCCCTTGTAAAATATCTCTTAAATTAAGGTACAGGTTTTGATTTCAGCAAGAAAAAAAGTTTTTATATGTATATTATACTCCATTAAGGAATGTCTAGAAATATCTTCCTCCAATGTGGATGTAGCCATTATTACGCCATTTTATGACTTTGTAAGAGAATTCACTGTGTGAAAATTGGTTTGCATTTTTGTATAATACAATCTGCTTTTTTTTTCGTTTGATACGAGAGGGAGGTCAAACTGGAAGTTTGAAAAGAGAAAAAAATGAACCTGTGAAATTGAGAAAACAAAGTGTAACTTATGTACAACAGTGATTCTAAGCTGAGGGGAAATGATTAAATGATATTGCTAACTCTGATTGTTTGTGTCATTGTTTTTTTTTGTTTTTTTTAACAAGAGTCCAGCAAATTAAAAAGCAACTTAAGTGTTTACACCTGAAAGGCATTTCATCAGGTAAAAGGACTGTCTATATTCTAGACTAGATGGTAAAACCACTATTTGCCAAAACTTGCTAAAACTCTCTTGAGTATCGTAAATTGTGGGGTAACGTCTAAAACCTGCTGAAAACACTGAGATTAATTTTGCTAGTTGCCATTCATCACTGAATACAACTCAAACAGTCCAATGTGTGTTGAGAACGAGTGGAGCTAAACGCTGGACTTTTACCAATCCAAGCTGAATGCTAACGTGCTAACAGCAGCATTTTACTAACTAACAGATATACACATGGTGATATAATAGCATGTAACATTCAGTGTTTTATACTCGGAATTTTCTTTTACATACTAAGCTATGACCTCGTTTCACATACTGTATTATGATTTTCTTTTCGACATATTATACAATGACCTTTTTAAAAACATTTTTCAGCCTATTATATTATGACTTTCTCATCATAAAATAATATGATCCTCTGGACATACTATATTCTGTGAAAAACTTTTTTCGTCCGAGTATACAATTCATTTTTTTGACGAACTATAGAGTACTATGACTTTCTTTCACTTTTGTCAACATACTATACATACATTTTTTTTAACCTACTTTTTAACTTTTATCATCATATTATACTGTATCATTTTCTGTCCGAGATACTTTCCAATGACTTCATTACTTTTTTGACATGCTATGCAAAGGACGTACATATGCATAGGGACAGAGACCTGGTGTTTCTTCCTTTTATTCCCCGTTAAAGGGTTTATTTTGGGAGTTGTTCCTCATCCAATGCAAGTCCAAGGACACAGGATGTCTTATGAGGCAAATTTGTGATATTGGGCAATACAAATAAAATTGAATTAAAATGCTAAAGCACCATCTATTGGCCAAATAGCACCCAATTTGTCATGGTCACCTAAGAATCATATTTACATATGTCCACCAAATGTAGTTTTAACAGCAAAATGCGTTCAGGAGGTAGAACTCTTTTTGTAATATTTGTAATTGCAAACTTTAATGAGGGCCAGCTTTAGCTAAACTGTATAGAACAAAAATAAAAAACTGCACCTGCTCGGTACGGATGTTCTGTACCATATCTAGTGACAATTGCAGAAAAAGTGGCGGAAAAAGCATCTAGTGCAGCATTTTTATGGCATACTATACTATGACATACCATACTATAACAAACCATACTATGACTTTTTAATGACTTATGGCAAACTATAACATGACATTTTTATGGCAGACTGACTTTAATGACATTGTTATGGCATATTATACATACTATACATCTTATACTGTAACATGTTTAATGACATACCATACTAAGACTTTTTCTATGACATTCATATCACACGATAGTATGACTTTTTATAACATTTCTATAATATACTCTGACTGTTATTTTTGTGACATACTATGCTATGACTTTTTAATGGCATACCATCCTTTTGACATCACAAAACCTATTTATTCCTGTGACATATATTATCTTCTCCATCCATTGACATGTAAGCATCCTCCATTCATCCCATTCGTCGCTCCTCTTGACCTCTTCTCCTGTGAGTTAACAGTTCCATATCATATATTTCTTTCACATTTTTCTGTCATCCATCTTGCGTTGGTGTTTCTGCCTCGTACCATCTCTTCGTAATGGCCTTCTTACGAGCCGCAAACAAGACTTTCAACATCGGCCTTCTCGTAACACAGTATCTCCTTTACTATATATTGCTGAAGTACAGTAGGCTACCACATGTGGCCCTTGGTATACAATAGCGCAGCATTTTGATTATCACGTGAACAGTACTCAAAACTAAGATTTTAGGACAAAGCCAAAATACATGTGAATGATTTATTGGCCTGTAGCTTCTCCAACATGGTTTTGCTACAGACAAGAAATGACTCATAATTTGGGGTGTTGAAAAGAATCTAATACAGTATGTGAAGATGTTGAAGACTGTTGTGTTCTCCAAACATGCAATCATTTATCTTCTGTAATATTAACACCTAGTTCTTCTTCACATATCAGCTTCACATATGTTTCCTCTTCTCTCCAGGTGCTGATATAACATATATAGTATTCTATATTTCTTTGATTTGTAATCTCCAATCATGGTTCAATGGTACTATTCCATTTTATTTTAAATCTAGATTTACATTGTGCTTCATTTCTCTGTCATAAAAGTCCCTTAACTGCAAATATCTGAAATGGTTCTGATTGTCTAATGTATAATTTTGTTTCAGCTCCTTGAAACTAATAACATTCCATATTTTTATTACTGGGCATATTGTTTGAACCTCTGGTCAAGAGAGCCGAGGATAAAATGTATGTCACAGGCTATACGTCGAAGTAGTCTGAGCTCTTTCTGTAATATATTCCTTTGTAGTAGATTAAACCACAACTCTAGTCAAGTAACAGTATATAGTGTCAACGATGTTGAATTTCCTCCTTGTACAGATCATATTTTCTTTGTTACCGATGCTTGTCATTCTTGCACTATTAAAATAAAAAGAAGATATTTGTATTGTATTGTATTTGTACTGACTAAACATGCACATCTGTATATTCCTTCCAGAAGAGGTAACTGAGATGAACTAATCTGGCATCATAGTAGAGTCTACTTCAGGCGAGGGTGGACACACTTCTAATGAACAAAAGTACTAATTAAAATCTTCTTACAATCTCAAGATTTCTTAAGGCTAACTGTCAGTGACCTAGTTCCAAGACAAACACAATCCGAGTTTGTTACTCCACATTTGTTGGATCCCAAGTCACATGTCTTCCATCATCCAAGCTTCCTAAAGTGGCCATGTCGGACTCCTCCAACTGGAACCCAAACACCTGTGTTTGAGAGAGCAGAGGTAGAGGAGGAGAAAGGGATAAGGGGTGGAATGAGAAAAGGGAACGGCTGTGACATTAGAGATCATGCTCTAAGTACATTACAGTCATTTAGCAGACAGCTACGGGAGCAATTTTGGGGTTAAGTGTCTTGCTCAAGGACACATCGGCATGCGACTAGCGGAGCCAGGGATCGAACCGCTGATCCTCTGCTCCTTTTTCCAATTTTGTATGTTAGCTCTTTGCCGTTTCTCATTTTAATAAATGCATTTGTGTGGACATGCATGCTTGATTGGTTCATTAAAACATATTGAATCTTTCATCACCATTCTTTATTTATAACAGATTGTTACAATCAAGCAAAAGACTGCAATGCATTTTCAACTCACTTGACAGTTTTCTTGAATCCTCTCCTTTTTTATGGATTTTGGTATTGTGACAACTCCATTCTACGGGTAAGTAGAGAAACCATAGCATTGTAGGTAAAAATAATAAATACGTTCGGCCAATTAAACTTAGGGCAAGCAATATCTGAACCTGAATACTCCAGCGGATGCAGATCTGAGCGGGCGTGCGTCTGTATTTTTGTGCGATCTGAAGAACGGTTGGGTTGTTGAGGACTTGACTTCTGGCCAGAGGACTGTACCCTTCGAATACAATTCCCTCCTGACGACAGTACTTCATCAGCTGATTGGGCTGCTGGAAAGGATGGTACTCCACCTGGTGGGTCATAACAACGTCAGGATACATCACAGGCAAGTCACTGCGTATCGGTAGTTCAGTTCATCGTGTACTTGTATACTCCAACACTGATAAACAGCACCTCAGAGAGGAATACATTAAACACATAACTCTTGGAGAACACATTTCTGTTATTTAATCATGTATTTTCCATGTGTAAGTCACACTCAAAAAAAATGCAGGTACAGTACAAAAGTTATTTCATATAAAAAAACATTTATTTTTTAGCAAAAATGCACATTTAATCTAATTGAAGGTTTTCTGAACATACCTGGTTAACATGTGGCACGACACTACAGTCTTCCTTTAACTCTTCAAGGTGGTGGACCAAAAAGTTGCTCACTCCAATAGCAGAGCACAGCCCTACAGTGACAAACAGGGATGTGTATGCTCTATCAGTACACTCTGTCAGCACTATATCACAATGATGCTGGCTGGAGTCACTTATTATATACTTTTCCAATATTATCTTCTATATGTACCTTCTTTATGCAGTTCCTCCAGAGCTCTCCAGGTGTCAGCTCTCATCTCCCTGTTGGAGCAACCGGGTTGCGTTGCTTCTGGCCAGTGCATCAGGTACAGATCTGAAAGGGTCCGGGTGATGATTTAATGAAAGACTATACAAGATAGGAGGACAACAAACTGCGTACAAAGACTAACATGATAATAAAGAAGCAAAGAACCATCGTTGTTACAGGACGTTTACACATCTCCCATCAGAAGTTAAAAAAAGAAGATGGTACCGCAATAACACATAACTGTAGTTTCTATTTAACATGTCTTTATCAACTCTTTATCAACGTTATCACAACTCATACCAAAGTATTCAAAGCCCATCTGTGAGCAGGAGTCCAGGCAGGCTTTCTTTGCAGCGTTGTATCCATAGTCCCCGGGCCACAGTTTATTGGTGACCCACAGATCACTTCGTGGTATCCCACTTTCTCTGACAGCGTTACCCAGCTTCTCCTCACAGCCGTAGCGCTTTGCTGTGTCGATGTGGCGCACGCCACACTCCGTGAGTGCGTACACAACGGCATTGTGGGAGTATCCGCCCTCATGTGAGGTGCTTAGTATAGAGGGAAAACAGCAACTAAATATCAGCAGTTTAAAGCAATGTCAGTTCAATGTTGTTGTTGTTTTTTGCATTTTAAGAAACAGTATTGCATACATACATTACGTTGTTAAGAAAGACTAAAAAAGCATATAAATACATGTGTGTATTCAAAAGTTCAGAAAGAAAAGTGAGAAATTAGTTTGAATAACTACCTGGCACAGCTAAAGGAAAAAAAAAGACTGAATGTCTGAGTTAGTGATTGACATATTGCGTCACCCTTTCCATTTGGGTTTTCTCCCCAGAAAAGCCTATTTAAAAAATAATAATGTGATGTAAAATAAACTACCATGCATACTTATTTTCTTCTTCTGTGGCATAACAGGTTAGAAACAACAGTAAAACATCATACAATGTGAGTATTTGTTATGTTTTAGTTACATTAGAGTCACGAGACACCTGCAGTATTTAAAACGTACCTAATCCGAATATTGGAATCTGCAGACCATTGGAAAGTGGGACTGTAGGACAACTCAGCGTTGGTGCCAAAAGCATGTTCCTCTGGGCAATGCTGACCAACCTGAATTACAACGAAGTGTTGAACTTTGCTTTAAGATACTAGCTTTACAAGTACTCACACCACTTTCAAATAGTACACGATAAATACCCGGTACAAACAAACCAAGCGCTGCACCACTGACGACACGTAACTGAGCTTTGCTGCAAGCACTCAGACAACTTTAAAGTTTTGTGAGGTTGTCACTGGAGTGTGTTTCCCTTACTTCCTGTCCAAAGGCGTTAGTATTTCTGAAGTGGGTGGAGTTGTGCCTGTCCATTAGTTTAGCTCAACAAAGATGGCGTCGATGTACTAAGTGTACGACATATGCTCAAGTGAGTGAACACTGTACCATAGAGGATACAGAAACAATTAAATATCGTGTTTCAGGTAACGTTACTTGGCAATTTGCAGCTTTTCCAACAACGCAGCAGAGCTCCGCTTCGGTTGCGGTTTGCAGGAGATCTTTTTCTTTCAGGCTCTTTGGTTAAAGTCAGCCATGATGGCGACCATGTAAAGCAAACGGGGCAGTGCGCAGCGTCAACACGATGAGGTGAGTCTGGAGTCAAGCATCACTTCTACTGTGTTTAATGCAAAGACATGGCTATCACGTTGCAGCTAAGTATAGTGAAGGCATGGCGTTACGTTTAGGCTGTTTCCAAGATTACTGTATGTCCAACATAACATCATGGTTTCATACAACACTTTTGGGGTAAACTAACATTTATTTTGATTCGCATGTCGGAACAAATTCAGTATTTGCAGCGGTGTAGGCAGGGAGTGGACTAATCTGGGACTCAGGGAAACTACCTTAAATGCAGGGTTGGTTGGTACTCTTGAGAAACTAGCAAGAAGAGTATCCAACCGAAAAACTCAGCCCAGTGTTCCCAACTCTTTTCCAATGACTAGCTAGCAGCACGAGCTCCAAAAGTTGCTAAATCAAGCAAGAAAGTCGCCAAGTCGGCAACACTGACAGCCCGTCACCATGAACGTAAACAAAGCATAAAGAACCTACATGGATATTTTTTTAGTACTCACTGCTGTTGATTTGGAAGACTCGGTGACGCGCAATGAGTGCACGAGCAGAACGGGTCGGTAGATGTGCCTATCAATGAAATGATTGGACGGGCTTATTGCAGTCCTGTGACCCTGTGAGAGACGCTTCTCCAGCTGTTGACCCCCTTTAATGATCCACA